GTGAGCTGTGAGCGAATGAGCCAGGGCAGCTTCGCGTAGCTCCTCTCCTGCGATGCCTTCATTCTGGGCCTTCCTCTGTGGGTGGGTCTCTGTGCAGATCCGGAGGCCGCACGTGCAGGGTGGGCTGCCCCTGCAGCTGCCCCCCTCCCGCCAGCCCCTGCCCTCCTGCAGCGTCTGGAAAGGCTCTGTGCCCCCTGCTCATTCCCAGTATCTGAAGCATTCAGGGCTGTTGCCTTTGTGAGAGCTCAAGGTGGTGTCCTTGGCTCTTTCGATAATTGCTAAATAACTGCTTGCCCTGGAAATTGCCCTGGAAGCCTCTCCCCACAGCTGCCTGGCCCCACATCAGAGACCTAGGTTGCTTGGTTACCAGTTTTCAGACCCAATTCAGGAAAGTCCCGAGGCCACAGAAAACTGAGTTTGGCTGCATGTGACCCACGGCCAGTGTCTAAAGGCTCTCTAACCTTAGCACAATCTGTGGAAGGAGAGGAGGCACGCAGTGAGCGCCGTCTTGCCTGCCCCCCCTGAGGCCTTCACTAGCTCACTTAACCCTAGGAACCGTGGTCCATCAGAGGGTTCCCATGTTACAGATAAGGACACTGGAGATCAAAACGATTAAGGAACATACCCAGGGTCACCAGAGAGTTTCTGGTGGAGTTCAGATCCAAACTCAGGTCCCTGACTCCAGGCTTTGGGTTTTATTTTTTCTCTCTTCATCCCACTGAGGCGTGTTCAAGAAGTTTGCTTAGAGAGCATTTTTAAGAAATTATTACTACAAAGCAGTTCTTCTCACTGCCTGAAACACAAGTCCTACCATCTCTCGCCTTTGTTGAGGCCCCTCTTTGTCCCCTCCCCCATCTCCCCTGCAGGAGCAGACCACTTTCCTTACTGGGGCGCTGACATGCTGGCCCTGCACCCCTCTGCCCACCCTCTGGATGTGTAGCCTCGCCCCCTGCAGGCAGCTCTGCCCTGGATGTCCGCTCCCGTACACTTATACTCCTTACTACCCTGGTGCCTGAGAGCACCACTCACCACGCTCTGATGCCGGTGCTTGACACACATGCATTCAGGAAAACAAAGTTCAGTCCAACCTACTTTTTAATTCTATTTTTAACCTTTCTTCTGAAAGACTCAGATGTTCACAGGGATGTAAGAGGAGGTTCCCTGAGCCAGCCGTGTAAAAGGAGAGGTCACTTGGGGTGCCCACTGCCCCGTACTGCCTCAGGCAGCACCCTCCTGCTCTGCTTTCTTTCCCAAACTCCCCATTCCGCCTCCTCCTTGGACGCTCTCTAGCTAAATAGATTTTCTTCATATACTTCAACAAGCTGGTGATGAATTTTAGTAGCAGAAACATTTTTCACTTCAAATCAGATTGCAACGTACACTCCCATCTGGGGACCATGCGTCTGGGGCAGTGGCTCTCAGCCCCAGGCTGCCCATCAACATCATCTAGGAAGTTTCTAAAAATGGGCAGCACTCACCCCCCTCCCCCCCCACACACACTCCCCACCCACCCAATTAAGTCTGAAGGACCTGGGCAGCAGCATATTTCTAAATACTCCCCAGGGGATTCTGTTGGGCAGCTCGGGTGTAGAACCGTTGGTCTAGCCTTGCTGCTGCGAGTGAAGCCTGCAGACCAGCAGCCTGGGCATCGCCGGGCAGCTTGCTAGAATGCAGAATCTTGGGCCCCACCCCAGACCTACCAAGTCAGAATTTGCATTTTACAGGGGCTCTTCCTCCCAAGAGTATGTGTCTCCTAAACTCTAAGGGTCCCCATGAGACTTACCACCAGGGGAGCAATGGGCAGTGGCAGCTCGTCCCAGGCTGACCCCTGAACCTGTCTCCAAGACCCCCTTTTCCCTGACTTCCCAGTGAGCCAGAGCAGGCCCGCCTGCACTCATTCTGTCCCATAACGCTTCTAGGGAACCGAAGCAGAGCAGCACCGAGGCCCTCTCCCGTCGCTATCCTAAGCCCTTCCTGGTTTCACTGTCCCCACCTTTCATAAATGTAAAAATAAAACATTTGCATTTTACCAAGATCCTCTGGTGATTTGTAAGCATGATACACTTTGAGAAGCATTGCTTTAAGCAAAGAACAGTTTTTAAATAACTGTATGACACGTTGCATTTGAATCACCTGAAATCTTATTAAATCGCATATTCTGATTTAGTAGGTCTGGGGTGAGGCCCAAGACTCAGCATTTGAACAGACTCCCTGATGCGGGTGTGGGGACCGTTCTGAGCAGCCAGGACATTGAGTTGCGTTTCAATGAGTTCCTTCATCTGAGCCCTGAAAGCAGAGGGTAGATATTTACAGATCTTTTCCTAAGTTTCCTCACCATCACTGTTTCCTGATCCACCATCAGCGCAAGCCCACGGCTTACCCTCTAACGAGCCAGCACTGAGCAGCCCCAGTTGGTGCACCGGGTGCCTCTGTCAGGGCAGAGGGTAGAAATCCAAAGTGTATGCCCGCCCTGCCGACCCTCGCCCACCCCCTCGGGGGGAGGCCATGCATGCTCTGCCCAGGACAGGTGACTTCAGGTTCCCCAGCAATGGTGGTTGGTTCCTCTCTGGCCTTGGCCCCCAGGAGGGAACTACTGAAAAGCCATTGAATTGGAAAATATGTCTAATGTGCTCAGAAAGGGAAAACCCACAGGTTGGTCTGAAGTTTACAGAAGCAACTGGGGAGAAAAACTGATGGGGGCTGGCTTTTCTTTTCGATCCTTTAATCCATTCCAGAATTGTAGAGCTGAAAAGGAACTTCAGAGATCTAGTCCCAAACTTTCATTTTGGAGAAGAAAGCTGGGACCCGATGAGACTGTGGCTTGCTCTCAAGGTCACCAAGCAAAATAGGGGTCAGCCCATGGGTGTAGGATTTCTTTTTTTTATCTTGCTTTAGGTTGTTTTTCTAGAAATGGACAGGAGTAGTTACTTCTTTCAGACGACTTCTTTAATTAAGAGCTCTACTTTTCACAGAAAAGGTAAAAATCAAGCGGCTGGATCATGGTTCTCGCCCCTTGTGTCCTTCAATAAAAAATTTCTAACAGTTACTGGTGTCACCCTTAACAGGGCCTGCCTCCTGGGGGGCAGTGACCCAAATTGCAGGCACGGTGCCCGGAAGGAACGAACTAGCTTCCGGAAGGCCTACCTGAGGCCACTCTTCTCTTTCATGCCCATTGCAACGCTGTAAGCTGATCACAGTTCTCTTTCAAGCCACTGACAATCAATTGGATTTGGATCTCAAGCTGAAACGCTTTTGCCATCCCTACAATAGAGGTCATACCTTGAAAAGCCGAGTGACCTTCAGATCCTCGCTACATTGCAGCATGTCTGCACGGGTTCGTAAAGACTCTTTAGCTTCTCATTTCCGACCCCTCCAGCTGCTCATTAATCCAATTATGAGTTTCCTTTATCCAACCAAACTTCCTGCCGAGTTGCAAACTCTCCCCGCGACGCGTTTGCCTTTGGTAATTAGCCAGCCCGGTGGAAGATGCTGTCTTGTTCAAACGTTTCTGTAATTTGGACTGACCTCACTCTGATCGTGCAACAGCAACACGTGCCGTATGAGGACACTCCAGGAGCCTCCTTCCCACGAAGGCTCGCCGAGGCTAGCTTCTGCCCTGCTGATGGAACCCTGCCCCTGTCTCTCTCCAGCCTCTCCCACGAGGTGGTAAGGAGGCTTCTGAGTCATGTTAGCTCTGAAGTGCGTGGGCCCTTCATGTTGATCTCTGAGTCCCGAACCAGAGCAAGCTTATTTGCTGACAGGCGCGTCCGTCTCCATAACAAGAAGTCAGTCTTCAGATCTTCTCTTCATTAAGACATCAGCCACACTCAGCCTCGCTCTCGGCTGCCAGAGGCACTGACAAGGCAGCAGGAAAAGTTCCATCAGGAAGGGGTTTGCTGCCTTCGGAGGCACCGCCTTGCCTGCGGGAGTGGACCTGCTCAGCCTGTGCAGGCCTCGTGCCAGCAGAGCCTTCTCAACAACACTCTGTGATTCTGATTCGAAGCCTGCGGGCAGAGTCTCAGGGTGGTGCCATCTGTAGCGTTCTGAGTGTCTCCCTTGCCAGCGAGGAGGGGGTGGAGTCCTTCCAACTCCTTGGCCATTCTCATCTGCCTCCTGGGCGTGTGCCACAGGCTCCCATGGCCCCAGGCTGCTCGGCAACACCCTGTTATGTTAGCGATATAATAATGAATTATACAATGGATTATACATAATTAATTTATAATAAAGCACGCACGCAACGCTTTAATTTCCCCAAGTGAATGATGTGCTGCCCGCCAGGTCCTGCTGGGATGCATTCCCTAACTGCCTCCTTGCTGGTCTGGAGGCCATGGCCAGCTGTCTACGGAGGGTCCGTGGCCAGGGAAACCTGCTAAGTCAGGTTCCCTCCAGACTACCTCTGGGGTATGGGCCACAGAAGATAATCCTTCATGCCTCACTGTTGTTCTAGACCTGGACACTCGTGGGAGTCTCACCCCACCCCTGGACCACTTAGAAGCTGTTATTTTCTTCATTCTTCCAATCTTCCTTCCAGAGTATGGGAGGTGCCAGTGTATTTATACTCTACATTCCCTTCCTTCATTCACCCACTCAACAAATACCTATTAAGGGCCTATTATGTATCAGATGCTGTCCTTGGCTTAGAATACATAAGTGAACAAAACAGCCGAAGATCCTTGCCCTAGTGGCACTTACATGCTAGCAGAGGGAGACAGACAACAAATAATAGACATGACGAATAAATGTGTTACACAGTGTGTCATATAGTGACAGGTGCTATAGGAAAAGAAAAGGCGGGGCAGGGTAAGGGTGACCAGGCGTGATGGGGGCAGGATGCACTTTTAAAGAGGGAGGTCAGAGCAGTCTTGTGGAGAAGTGGCAGTCTAGGCATCGCCAGGCCCTCCGTGAACGGGGGAGAAAGGCACTTCTGGGTCTACCAGGGGTTAGATTTTCCCGGGCTGCTTTGACTCTGTTTCAGTAACATGTGTCACTTTTGGTTTCAGATGTTCAGGATGTTTCCGTTCCTGCTGCTGCTGTGGTTTCTGCCCCCTACCGAGGGGTCCCAGCGAGCTGAACCGATGTTCACGGCAGTCACCAATTCGGTTCTGCCCCCTGACTATGACAGCAACCCCACCCAGCTCAACTATGGCGTGGCAGTTACTGATGTGGACGATGATGGGGACTTTGAGATCGTCGTGGCAGGGTAAGTGCCTCCCACCTTGAGTTTGATAGATACATCAGTCAGCTTTTACTGTGATGAGGCTGAGTGACAACTCCCAAATCCAACGGCTTGCAACAACACACGTTCTCACTCATAAGTCCTAGCTGGACTCAGTGGATGCTGGTGTGCTACTTCTTTGCCTTTTGTTATAGCAGTGGGCGGGGTGGCGGTGGGAGGGTAGGTCCAAGAAAGGTGTTCATTCCACGCGCTTTCCAGGGAGAAAATTTGAATGCTTTTCTTCAAGGTCCTCTCTTCATATCCTTAGTTATGCAGGTGTAGTTACTTCCTTATCAGTGGAATTCTAGAATCTCTGTAGGAGGGGCTTCATGGTGACAATTAAGAGATGGGGATGCTCAGTCTGCCTTTGCACAGCATTTCACATAACACTAAGGAAACATTAATTGTCCATTTCAAAGAAGGAAGGAAGATGGAATTAAGAGGGATAGCTAACCTTCCTCTAAAACATGCCCTGGTCCCACTGCTCCCTTCTCTCCTGAGAAGCAACATTGTGTAGCCAGAAGAGCATAGGATTTGGAGTCCAAATAACGAGTTCATGCCCTAGATCTACAACTTTCTAGTGGCATGGTTTTGGTCACTCCCTTATTTGTTGAGATTCAGATCATCTGGGGACTGTAATGCCTTCTCGCCCGGAAGCCTCCATAGTAGGCCATTTATTGCATGGGACAGTGCATTATAAATTCTGCCAATTACATTAATAATTATTATGTACTGAGCACTAATACATACCAGGCTCTGTGCTGAGCCTTTCACATCCATTGCCTTATTTAATCTTCCTGACAACACTATAAAGTAAGTTACTATCATCCCCATTTAGAGAAGAGGAGATTTGGGTTCAAAGATGGTGAGTGGCATGCCTTCTGTCAAGTAAATGGTAAGTAGAGGAGCCAGGATTTGAACCCTAAGGCTCCCCAACCCAACAGCTGCTAAAATACATTGTACAAAGTTTAGTTATCACTTCAAAAAATCATCTTAATAATAAAAGGTTAATATGCAAATGGTCATCATGCTGTGACGCCATATTGACCCATCAGCAGGGACCTGAGGCTGCATGGTGCTGGGCTGGGGCCGGGACCTGAGGCCACATGCCTCCTGCTCCGGCACCAGGGCCGGGGGACCTGAAGCTGCGTCCCCTGCCCAGCAGGGCTTGTGGCAGGGGGATGGGGGAGTGGCAGCTGGGTCTTGGTGCCGCCCAATGGGGGTGGGGCTTGCCGGACACTTCTATTATACAGGAAGGACAAATAGCAATATTAAAATATTTCCTCTAGCTGAAGCCAGTTTGCCTCAGTGGATAGAGCGTCGGCCTGCGGACTGAGGGGTCCCAGGTTCGATTCCAGTCAAGGGCATGTGCCTTGATTGCGGGCACATCCGCAGTGGGAGATGTGCAGGAGGCAGCTGGTCGATGTTTCTCTCTCATCGATGTTTCTAGCTCTCTATCTCTCTCCTTTCCTCTCTGTAAAAACTCAATAAAATATATTTTAAAAAAAGTATTTCCTCTAATTGATTCCCTTTTAATGTGCATGAATTTTATGCACCGGGCCACTAGTTTAATCAATTAAAAAACACTACAGGGAGCTGTCAGCCTTCTTGTGGGAGGCCTGAGCTTTTATGGCAGCACTGACCAAAGTAACTGTCAGGTAACATCATTGTAGCAGTTGCATGTACCAGTAGAAAGCATTGATCTTAGAAATGGAAGGCCTGGTTTTAATTCTAACCATATCATCCAGTAACTGTGAGCCTTGTGCAAAGTACTTAGCTATGTAGGTCCCACAGGGTATGGCTGGAGAATAGGCTGACCTTCCCCACCTTATCGCCTGATAGTCCACAAATGGGCCCTTTGGAACACGTTGAAATCCCCCGCCTACACACAGGACAGTGGTGAAGATCAGTAGTGATGCTGTATAAAAAAGATACTTTATAAAGTGTATTTCTTCTTTCTGTTCCTTTTTCCACCCTGTGAAGAGTGGAAGGGACTGCATTCTAGACCTAAAAGTCTGGATTAGCAAACCATCCAGTAGAACTTTGTGTGATGATGTAGTTGTTCTGTGCTGGTACTGTCCAATATGGTATCCACTGGACACCTGTGATGGTTGAGCACCTGAAGTGTGGCTGCTGTGACTGAGGAACTGCATTGTGAATTTTATTTCATTTTAATTATTCAGCCACATTTAAATCAGCACAGGTCTGGGCTTTCAGAAGGAAGAACTAAAGAGCAGAGTGTGGTAGAAAAAGGAAAAATGGAAAAGGTTATAATGACCCTATGGCCTGAGGTGACCTGAGGAGGGTTGAGGCCAAGCAGCTTGTCTGTGTTCCTGTGACTGTCCAGTCACTCTCTGAATCAGAGAGAAGTGCTCCTGACCCAGTCCTGCCTCCTGCAGCCATCTACCACTCTGCCAGAGTCTCTGGTTAAAGGACTTCAATGCATTCGAGATGTTCTGGTTGGCCCTGCTTCCTGCTAGGTAACACCAGCCTCCCCTTGTAGGGCCTGACAGAGGACAGAGAACAGTGGGTAACCATCTGCCTCCTCCTCCTGGGCCCACAAGTTACTACTGTGAGCATGCTCTCCTTTCTCCGTGGACAGGGGGCTTTGAGCGCAGGTCTCCATCCCACCATCCTTAGATGAGCACCGGACCGCCACAGCTCCTCCCATGTGGGCAGCTTCTTTCTTTCCAAACGCCAGGCATTCGTTTCACCTTCCTTTTCAACTAAGTCTTTTGCTCTTTCTCTCCAGAAATTGGCTTTTGTGTCCTCTAAGGTAGAGAAGTTAGGCCATCATTTGTAACCAGCCTGGAGTAGATGTCTATGTCCAGCTTGCTGCCTACCGTGGGTCGGGTAGCCCTTTGGATCCATCCTCTGGAAACCAGAAACAGACCATCTTGGGTTTTGAACCTGGGTCATCCTGAGATCAGGGAAAGACCCTGTCTCTTCTCCCAGGGCCAGGGTGATGTGGGCAGCCCCTGTCTGAGAAAGCCTGGGTTGCAGGGTGTTCTTCTGAAAGATGATACTGCTCACCCCAGCAAAGAAGAAGAGTTACATAGAGGACAAGATGGCAAAATTGGGCAGCCTCCCAGCTCCAGGTCAGGCCTTCTTTGTGACTATTATGAAGCATTGTGAGTTCTCAGGGCATCGGAAAGTCACGTTCTAATTTAAGTACCAAAATACATTCCAATGGCAAATATAACTTTTTATTATCTCCAGCTCAGGATGATTTGTCACTGTCTTCCTCTTTGGGCCGGATAACCACGGGTTGACTATATAGACGTATTTAAATCAGGACCTTGGGAGGTCATTCGGTTCACCCCTGCCTTGCCTTCCACTTAGGCCACGCCTATAATTTTTGGAGGCTCCCTGCAGGTATTTAGAGCCTTCCATAAGAATGTGTGCAATCTCTCTGTCATCCAGCTCAATTACTTATGTCAAGACTCTATTTGACTAATCTGATCCCTCATATTAGAGCTTCATAAGCCATTTCTTTTAACTTTAGTTTTGCTGTTGTCTTTGAAGATATAAACTAGAGGCCACCATCCTTTCAATAATGGCAGCGAGGATCACTGCCCTGCCTCTCATTCCCTATGCACTCCTTGGCAACATTTCTGACTGATTTTTATTCTATTTCATCTACTCTACACCCATATTTAACTCTGTTTCTTCTCTGTTTGATTATAGACTCTCTGTTTAAGAATCACGTAGCAGGGATTGAAATTTTAAAAAATTGAATGTGAATGCTTTTACCTGGGGCACCTGCAGTCCAGCTTATTAGAGGCTCACTCTCTATTATCTTACAGACCTTCCCATTCGTTGGCCCCAGAAGGCATTTACGTTTTCCTTCTGGGATAATGTCCAGCTCTTCCGCTTACAAGGTGCCCACACTTGAACTTGTCTTGGATTTGTTGACCTTGTAGTGTGTCTGATTCAAGCCCTGTTGCTTGGAGTATTTACTCTTTGAATAGGTTTGTTTTGTTTTGCTTTTTCGGGAGCCTCGTTCTGGGTATTGACGGCATTGATTCTGAGCATGCTGTGGGTGAGTTGTATTGTGTTTCTGATTCTTAAGTTAATTGTGATGGACGGTGTGTGCATACATCTGGCTCTGGGAGGAGCAGAAAATGACCGCCCTTTGTTCTGTGGGGAGTGGGGGAGGGAATGGGTCAGCTCTGCTCCCCGCACCTCAGCTGGGCTAGTGTCACCGCATGTGGAGAGCTTATCCATTGACCTGCGTGATTGCAATCTGTTTACAGTCTCCACCCTGCAGAGTGAGGGAGGGTTTGGTCACCCCCAGAGAAATGTGCACATGCACAGACCGTTGAGGATATTCAGGACTGGTTCCCCTTTTCTCGGCGGAACTAAACGCACAACCTTCAGTTTCCTGTCGTCTGGAAAGGAATGCCTGTTGGTATCAACCTTGCACAATTCCTTTAGAGCAGCTTTTGTTTCCTGGGATATCCCCAGAGGTCTGTCTGAGGTAACCCCTGAACCCTCCCTACCCTGTCAGTTTCCAACAGGAGTTTTGCTCAAATGGAAAGATTGTAGTGGTTGTAAACTTTAAATCACAATTTAGATCTTTTTTTCCCCCCCAAAGAGCATTCATTTGATATAATCTTAATGCATTCTTCACACTTGGAAGGATTTCATTTAAAGGGATGCTACGTATCGGAAAGCTGGGTTTCATTTTTTTCTTAATTTTGCAACTATGTCAGAAAACTTTTTTAATTTGCTGAAGTTAATTGAATTATTTAAAAGGAAAATTGTACTCAATCACCAGATTAATCATAATTACATAGGAGATATTTTTCCATGATACATAATAAAAACAATGATAAAGAATAAGATATTTGCCTGTGATTTAACCAAAGCAGCATTTGCACATTTTATTATAAGTATATATAGGTAGATGAAACATATGTAGATATATCATATATAGTATATATGTAGTAGATAGATGTAACATCCATATAAATATATTTAGA